CCAGCCACTGTCCCTCAGCCCCAGGCTGTCCCCACAGCTGACACCATCTGCCCTGGCACTGCCCAAATTCCTGCCACACAGGGCTCCTTTCCCAGACACCCACTGCCTTGGCACTAGGAGCTCAGCCAAATGCACTGCTAGTCCCAAGTCACCTCTGCACCAGTGGTCCCTCCTCACAGCCCTGGGATGTGTCACCTGGGCCCCCACCCCACCCCAAAGCAGCCTTGTGGTGAGGGGACACCTGCCCCCACCCCAAAGCAACAGGGCCAAAGCAGCAGGGTGGGTGCAGTGCTGAAGGAGGAACCACAGCCACTCTTACCACACTTCCAGAGGAAGGCATGACGTGAGCTCTGGCTTAATTGGTTATTAATAACTTCTTTGTTAACAAGCCAGCCCTAAGGAGGAACTGAAATTTGACTACTTCTCTGGTAGAGAGCTCAGCTTGTGATCATTCACAATTTCTCCCAACATTATTTTGCTCTGAGGAATCTCAGCCCTCCCCAGTGAGTCACGGCGGTGACGGCATGGTCCCCTCACCTACGCACACAGCACAGCCTTCTTGGTTGGGTTTTTCTTTTTAAATCCTAGAAAAATAACAGATGCTGTTGTTGAGGGAGAGCTTCTTGGAATCTGTTTGGGCACCAGGCTGTGTCTGAATGTGACCAAACTCACAGTTCCCCTAAAAATCTAGCCCTGTGGGGGCTGCGGATCTCCCCTGCCCATGGGTGGTTACTCCTGCCACCCCATGCTGAAGGCAATGAGCCTCCCTCCATGGCAAACACTGCCAGCAAACAGCCTCCACACCCAAATCCCATGCCTCCCTGCCCAGCTGCTTTGGAACTTCCAGTTAAAGGGACCCTTCTGAGTTCTTCCCCTGCAAATCAAAGCAGTGATGTGACCCTCCCCAGTTCCATGCTGTGCTCACAGTATGCAGCACAGTGGGTTTCCAGCACCAACAGACTAGGGGTGGTGCCTGGGGACCCACAAGAGATCACAGAGAGTTCCCTGCTCCCATCCATCCTGTAGCACCAGTCTACCTGGGAAATGTTGGTATGGTTACCTTGCATTCCCCCCATGTTAACGGTTTACACAGCTGTAAACAATCCTGACTTGAGCCTCCATCCCAGCCATTCCTGGACCAAAAGAGGCAGCACCTGTCCCCAGAACTACACGCTGGCAATGCCCATCCATTAACACAAAACTGAGCCCCGACAGTCTCATGGGAAGTGCCCTGTGTTTGTTCCCCTAAGGCTGCTGCTCTGGCTGGACTCTCCCTCCTCTCCAAAACGGTGTTTGGCCCTTTCCCAGAAGCCTGATCCCAGCCACCATCCAAGGCTGGACCCATCTGGAGAAGGCTGTTTGGGGATGACCTGCCCCCTCAGTGACCCTTTTCTGCAGGTTTGAGGCTGAATTCCACACCTGAGACTTCATGATTTCCAGTCCTTTTCCAGATCCATCCTCAGGCCCAAGCACTGAAAGGCCCCACCATCAGCCTCCTGCCCTCAGGCTTCCTCCATGAGAGCATAGTCCCACTTCCCATCCAACCTACACCATGGGCAAGTGGGACCTGCTCTGATTTCCCAGCCCAGAAACCCTAATACCAGCCCAAACTGCCCATGTAGGCCCCAAGGAGATGCAGTTCCAAGTCTGGAGGCCACCAGCACCTCAAGGAGCCTCTCATAGCCATGTTGGATTCAGCATGGCCAACTGGCTCTGGGTCTGCTGGCTACCCCTCCTGTAAATGTTATCCTACAGGTCCTCTGTGGTGATGAGAGTTCAAAGGGGTCTGATCCTCTGTACTTGGTTAAACCAGGCTGTAAATGCTGACACAAGCTCCGTGCTGTGGGTTGGGCTTTTCAGAGAAGTAGAGCTACGCACAAGACCTCATTCTTAGGAGTTACAGACATGGCCTCTGCTCCAGGGGGAAATTGCTGACTCTGAAATCCTGTTTATGGGCACTGACGTGGCATTTTCTAGCCCAGGATGTTGCTTCCTCTCCGTGTGGGGCCTCAAGGGGCACACGCTTCCTCGAGAGACATCCGGATCCCATCGCAAGGGCTGATACCGTCCCCAGTCACACAGGCAGCTACGGGTGATGTGACACCTTTGCTGATCCGTCTGCCTGGACTTATCCACATGCAGCATCCCAGGCAGGAGCTTAAATCCGGGCTGTGCTGTCTTCCAGACCCCCTGCCACATTGCTGCGTGCTGGGGCAGGTCCTGTCCCTCTGCCTGCTCATTGCCAGGAGACCCCATACACACTAGGGTCTATGCAACGAGCCACCTCACCAGCCACCAGCCCTGCACCATCTGGGCACAGCTCACAGCCCCTCGGAGGCAAAGCCAGGCTGGAGACGCCCCCTCCATTCCCATCCTTCCCAAACAGCACCGTGGGCCATGGCACAGCACAAAGCGACAGAGGCACCAGCCAGAGAGGTGCTAGGGAGCTTGGGGTGTCCTCCTTAACAGAGCTCCCCGGGCTTGCAGTGGAAGGGGAAGAGGCTCCCCTCCCTCCTCTTCCTCCCTCCTGCGTGGAGACTTTGCAGCCAGGTAAACACAGGATGTTGATGAAATGAGGCTGAGCAGATTGGGCAACCCGGGAGTCAGCAGGAGCTCCAGGCAGCTCCCAGCGCCCAGGGCTGGGAACAGCGGGGAAAGGGCAGTGCCAGAGCACCTGGTGACTCCCTCTGCCTGTCCCCAGGGTAATGGAATTCCCCTGTGTGGAAGGAGAGGCAGCATGGGACTGTGGTGAAATCCAGGGCAGCGTGGGTTCCCACCCACTGCTGTGTGCCCTTGGGTGATCTGCTGCACATCCATGGGATCTCTTGGGATCTCCTTGCAGACTTGGCAAGGAAAAGGAGCTTCAGACTGCACCGGCATCAACCCAGCTCACTCCTTGGGGTGCAGGTGCTGCTGTCACACGCACAGTGACCATACGTGCTCAGCCAGCAGTGTGAGACAGCAAGCCACAAGCAAGCAGAAAGGACCTGGACACCACGCACGGACCATGGCTGGGACAGCAGGAAGGATCAGGGCGAGGGAAAGGGGTCAGGGAGGGGGCAGTGATGTAGGAGGTGGCAGGACTTTGATGACAAAGGGGCTACTGCTTCCTTAGAGCATGAGTGGAGGGGCATGTGCCACTGTCCCCAGTGTCCCCAGTGTCCCTCTGGGTACTGCTGCCATCTGCTGGCAGGACCTCATCCTGCTCTGGTCCTGAGCTCAGCCACTGCACCAAGGCCTGGGGACACCTCTGTCACATCACTGTCCTGTGCCCTGCTCCCAAGTGGTGTGGCACCATGTATGGCTCCAGGCTGGACACCCCAAGGTGTCCCCCAGGCCTCCCTATCACCATCCCCCAAAACTGCTCAAGGTGTCCACCAGCGTCACAGGCGATTGTCACACCTGATAACCCTCTCCCTGGGCTGCAGGTTTCTCCCATGTCAACCCTTTCCAGTGCCCAGACACTCCCACCACTGCCCTGTTGTTCCCCACCAAGGCCCCTGCAATGGGGCCAGTCCCAAACCAGTTTGGGCCGATGGACACAGGGACAGGATCAGGCCCTTGGCCACAGCAGGGTTAGAGCAGCAGCTCTGTTGGTCTGCTTTCCCCTGGGACTATCCAACTCCATCCTCACCAAGACTGTTGGGTGTCAGAGGAAGCTCATCCCAAGATACCTGTCTTCCTGCTGCATTCCCATCCCCTGGGTCTTGCCAGGACTTGAGAATTTGCTGAGTCCTGTGCTCCATGTGACAGGCAAGCACATGGCAAGCTTCTTCCCATGGCCTCCCTGACCTTCCTGGCCTTTCCAGCATCTCCACTTCCCCTGGGACCAGCATGTCCCAGAGATAACCATTGGGAACTAGGGCCTTGCTGGGTGTGGGAACACCCAGGGCCATCCTACACATTCCTCTCCACTTCCCATGGGCAATCAGACCCTGAAAATGGCCTCAGTGGGGTGTTACATGGAGTTGATTTTCAGACGTAGTTGGGAAGTGGGCTTGGAGGAGGTGGTATCCCTGCACCATGGCTCATCCCTCCCTGGGCAGATGGCAGCAGCATCCTGCTCCTCACTGGAAAATGCCCAAATCCATGGGCAGGGCCTGAGCTGCAGCTGTCCTTGGTTTAAATCCTCACAGCAAAGCAAACCAGTTTCTGGTGGATTTTCCATGTGCTTCATGCCCCAGCCCACACACAAGAAGGCTGTATGGCATTGGAGACCTTCCCGCTGGGAATGATCGCTGGCGTGTGAGCCTGTGGACTCAGTGCCTGACGCCCACAAGAGCTGCAGGAAGTCATTTAATTCTAAAAGGGATTTTTATTCCCTAGCCCTGCAAAAGAAAGCTGGAAAAAATCAACCCCCCAAGGGGCCACAGCTCAAAAAGTTAATAACAATTGTACTGAAATCTCACTGTTCAGAGCTGGGACATGGAGTGTTCAATCTGATTACCAAAGAAACCAGGTGTGTGCATCTGCCTACCTCCCTACACCTTCACTATTCCCACCCTCCATGATTTTCTTTCTTCTGAAACAACCACTCCCACCAAGCCACCTTTTGGCAGCTCAGCCCTTACAAGACATCAGAGACTCCCCCACCAGCACTGCCAGCTTGTCTGTGCTCTCCAAACATGCTTCCCAACATCCTCAACCTGTGTCCAGCCCATCACCATCCTGTTTCCATCCAAATCCCTACCACTGTCCACCACCCACCACAGAGGGGACTCCAGATCGTGCCACTAGCCCATGCAACCAGGTCCTTTGGCAGAGAGGTCCCCTGGCACCCAGAGGGGCTGGCACAGCTCCCCCCTCCCGACACACCTGGGCAGCTGTGCCCACCAGTAGTGCTCCGCGTGGTGCTCCGGTAGCTTGCTGACATCAGTGCGGTTTCCTGCCCTGCGCTGTGTGCTCTGCCCATACCCCACAGTCCCTCACTGTGGGGTGCTGAGCCTCAGGCAGCCCTGAGCCCCCAGGGCCCCCCAAACCCCCCTGTGACAGCCAGTGCCATGGAGTCAATGGCTCTGTACAACTTCCAGACGACGGAGAAGGACGAGCTCCCCTTCCATAAAGGGGACATCCTGAAGGTACAGGGGGCAGGGGGGCACTAGCCATGGGGGAGTTGGGGAGTTGGATGCTGTTGCTTCGGGGGGCAGAGTGGGCACATGGCATGGGGTGACAGTGGTTCTTTCATTGCCCCTGGCTTTGTTGCCTCTTTGGGGCTTTCTGTGAGGTATGAGGAGCCAGCCTCGAGGGTTTTGGGGTGTGGAGGAGCATCCCCAACAGTGGGTACTGCTTGTCTGTGCCACCAGGCTCATCTTCAGAGGGGCATCCCCAGCTGGGACATGGCATGTGGCCTCCCTGGCCATCAGTGCCACCAGCTGTGCACTGCTGCAACCCCCCAGGGATGGAACATGTCTTCCCTGCCCCACGGAGTCACCGGAGGCCACGGGGACCTGGCAGCAGGGAACATGTGCCCACACACCTGCCGAGGTGGTGGCATCCTGATGGGCTCTTGCATGACACCTAGGAATCCCCAAAAGCTCCAGAGGGGCTCATAACATCTCTGGGGGTCTGCACTCCCCTGTGACAGGAGTGAGGGTACCCACACCCTGTCCTGCTGCCCAGCTGCTCATCCCTCTCCGTGGGGCTGATGCTGTGATGTTGCAAGCTCCTCCTGGACCCCCAGCACCCTGTAGCCCCCTCAAGGGTGCAACAAGCCCCGGGAAGGGTGAGGGCATGGCCTGGCTGTACCCCAGGGCCCCAAACCCGCCTTGCCCATCCTTGCCTCCTGGTGGGTTTTCCCAGTGGCTCCACTCCGTGGCCTGGGTTTTCAGATCCTGTTTGCACAGCTGTGCCGGCCCTGGGCCCCTGCGTGGGAGGATGGAAAATGGTGTCACATAGAAGTGGGTGTCAGCACCCCTGCTCACACTGGGGCACTTCCTCCCATGGAACGCTCAGCTGCCAGTGTCCCCCTGGGGGATGGGGGGGGGGGTGATGTCCTGGATACTCCAGGGACAGATTTCACCCTCTTCCCTGGCCAAGGATTTGGGATAACACCAGGCACCCCACAGCTGCAGGCATCTGTGGTGAGCTAAGGAGTGCTAGAGGGAGCATCCAGCTCCATTCAGGTGCCTTCAACACACCCCCCCAGACCATGTCATCATTGTCAGAGCCCTGTTTTCCCGAGGTTCTGGTGGGTCATGTGGGATCTGGGGCGGCAATGGGGGTCCCACTGGTCTCCTCTCCCAGAGAAAAACAGCCAGGCTGATCCCTCCGTGCTCCTCTCCCACCTTAGATCCTCAACATGGAAGATGACCAGAACTGGTACAAGGCTGAGCTGTTCGGCTGTGAGGGCTATGTCCCCAAAAACTACATCAAGGTCATGCCACACCCGTAAGTGCCATCCCACTGTATGGGGAAGGGGGGCTGGAGCACCCACCAGCCAGGCAGTGATCCCAACGGTGCATCCCAATTCCCAAAGGTCTGCCATGAGCCAGGGTAGTCCCACACGTGGGGAAACTGAGTCACAGAGTGATGGGGTCTGCCTGCCAGGTCAGTCTGCCATTCCCACCACACCCATGTACCCCCAACACACCAAAATCCAACCCTCACACCAGGCTGCCACTAAATAAATGGTAATCGGGGAACGACAGAGCGTTATGGAATTATGACTGCATTAGACACAATCCTATTACTGTGTTATTAAAGCCCAGCATAATCCATCCCTGATTGAACCTGTGTTTTATGTGTCATTAGCTCCTGGAAAGTCACATTTAAATGCCAGAGCACATCCCACTGCCTCTCTGGCTTTGGGTAACAAACCAGGATGGGCAAGACACAGTTTCTTCCATGCAGCACCTGGAGGGTTGGCACTGAGAGATGCTCTGTGCTAAAGTTCATGGCTGATCATTCATGGGGCAATTTTTACAGGTAGCAGAGGGTCTCCATGGCCTAGGGGCCTGAAATGTCCAGACACAGCCTTGGCAGGGATGGGAGATGGAAACTACTCCTCCACCTTGTTTCTGCAGCTGCGAGCAATGCAGGCAGGAAGGGTTTTATCCCGGCACGGAGGGTTTGCTGCTCTGCACCTAGAAGGGCTGTTGCCATGAGGGGCCATGGGGGACAGGATAGGGACAGGCAGCACAGTGGAGGATGAGGCACAAGCCAGGGGACAGGATGCGGTCACAGCTGTGCTAGAGGCGCTACACTCACCCCGCATGGATGAGGCAGTGCATAGGGACATCTCTGCACCCACAGCACCCTATGGTGCCCCCACGAAAGCACCGTGATAAATCAGGAGAGGGAGGGAAGGGAGAAACTGCTGGGCGGGGGTGTCCCAGCCCCGGGTAGAGCCCTGCGGGGATCCCACACCAGGGCTCTGGCGCTGGGGTGCGATGTGGGTGCCCGCGGGCTCAGCCCGGTGTCCCTCGCAGGTGGTACGCGGGCAGGATCTCCCGGCAGCTGGCAGAGGAGCGGCTCCTCAAGCGCAA